GTGCAATTCGATAGATCTATACAGGAACATGGTTTCATTAGAGAGGACTCCAAAAATACTTTAGATTCATTTGATTGAGAAAAGTCATAGTCCTTTTCAGTTGAACTGATGTATAATTTATCATTCAGGCTCTACGGTTAGTTTCTTCTTGAGGCGTTCAGCAATGACCGTAGTGCGTCTTACAAAGTGTGTGGCTGGTTAGTTTTGGAGACTTGAGTCAGGCTGGCCTAATCTCACATCTTCGGTTATTCGGGAGCCATCTCTTTTCTTCGAAAAGATTGAAGAAATTTCAAAATCTTGGAATAAACTTGGTGCAGATCTGACGATTGTAGGTCAAATACCAGCCATGTTCATTCTCATCAGCGTTTGAACTCTGGTTGTGGCGACTGAGTTCACCGTGATTTTATACTCGGATCACAGTTGTTCAACTGGACTAGTTCTCTGCATGTGCCTCGTTGCTCTTCACCAGGGTCACAGACCATTTCAGCTAAGTCGTTAGATCATTTTGAGTGGGCATTTTCTGGGGGTTTTCCCCACGAGGATCTCTCCATATCATGACAGCAAAGTCACCTCTCCGTTTTAGCGTAGTACAATTTGCCGCGATGTATTTCTTCAACTGTTTATTGTCTCTCACCTTGCATTTTGCGCTGTGTAGCTAATTCAACGCTTCATTAGTAACATGATACATTCATTTGCATGTTAGTCAAAATGGTATCGATAGTACGTCGGTAGGCAGTACCGACGCTTCGCTGCCACGCAACCACTGACATTCACATGTGTGCTAAGGATACTGCGGGAGTTACTCGGTCTCTATGCGGGCTCGAGTCTGCGCCCTCATCTTACAAAGCAAGCTTGTGATCCTTAAGGCTCTGAGCTGTAATTCATCTACGCATGTGTATTTGGTGTTGAGTGGTTGTTCGCTGCTGGCGAATTACTATTGGTTTCCTTCACGTATCTCTACCTCTTTTTCGTTCTGGCTCACGTTGGATGTGGTTTCGACCAGTACTCGCACGCTGCTTCTGACCTTTCATGACGACTGTAACAGATTAATGCAGAAATGCACACCATTTGCCGTGTTACATGACTTCTGCCTTCCGGTTCTAGCGTTCCACGGCTAAGTGCAACAGCTTCCTTAACTAGGTACCTTGCAACTACTTGCGGTTTTATGCATTGGACACTGCACTGCCTTCCAACCGGATCATTTTGGGCAACCTGCATACATTCTTGACGTCCACGAACAGAATCCATACCATTTCTTCACTCTCTATACTCTATTACCACATTCATCCAGTTCCCTCGTCTCAATCAGCCAAGTTTCTGCTTGAAATGGAGCGCATTTTAAGATTCATTAATTAGTCCCTGCACTGTTTTACTGTCTGGTCTCTTCCAATTGTGCGTGCTGTTGAACTCTTCTCTGATAACGCGGTTTTGTCATGGGTATATTTGGGTGTTGCTCTTCCCAACCCTGGCACACCACGACCGCGGTTTCGTCTTGATTTATCCGGTGGAGATAGCCTGAGCTAGTGTGAAACTCAGAGCTTTGTACTTCATGTCTGACGCCCTGAACACTGTGCTCTGGGTTTCGTCATGAAGTATACCAGTTCTGCTTTGCCCCGTTTATCTTCTCGTTATTCCATAGCTTCCTGTCTTTTTTGTTCTGGACTAGAGTGTACGTCTCATCCTCTGTCTACCGCGTAATCAATCCATCCTAGATGGTTGAAGCTCTTGTACTTTAACCTGAGATGTGTGCAGCCTTTCAGATACTTTTCCGCATGTATACTGGACGCAATTTCGAGTTGAGAGGAGACCGCAACATCGCATATTCTGCTGCCCATAAAGCAAATGCAGGGGTAGATAACGCGAATTCGTAGTGATTTCAAACCACCTTGCATCTAAAGACCTAAAGGTACAGTCGTAGATAATGCCCATGGGAATGTTAGAAAACGTGGTTGCAAAGAGTTCACTTTTACGCAAATCACATCAGGCAAATACTTTTACAAACCTTACTAAGACAAGTAAAAGGCTAGTGAAATCGGAAGTTAGTGGTTGACATTCTGCACTGGCTCACATTATTCCAACGACATGTTGCTGTGCATTTTGAGGGAATGTGGGCCTGTCCCGTTGATGAAACGTGTCTCCTATCCACATGCCTACCGGCCTTATTCCTTCGAATTCACACCAGATATGGGGTGCGTGAACGAAGCTGTGGATAGTGTAGCGCAACCACCTAAACAGCTTACTTCCAACTCAACCAGATTAAAAACTTCCACTAAACTCAGTAAGGTATGTGTACGATGCTTGCAATATACGACTGAATCAATTGCAGCTTGAAGCCTTCTCTTTCGGACCGAAATTCTGCTTCACTCAACCAGTTTGTGGGCAAGTTCACACAGGAACCCAGTTTGAATACTTAATGCACCAACTAGCTAGATTGATACCCACACCTTTTCTCGCCCTGGGCTCTTTTAAAAGCACATTGGTTCACATCTATCAGCAATATCTGTGTTGCATGAACTGGTCGTCTAGCATCCTTACCAAAAACATGGTGAGGCAATCAAAGGATTGCGATTGAATTCAGACCAGATTACGCATCGGGATGCAGGTTAATGGACAGATCCGAGTGCATCGCGAAACTTTGCACTATTTTGCATCACTCGAGCAAGTTCTTGCGCGTTACAGTTGAGAAGGACAAAACCATTGAAGGTGAGACAAAAATTGTAAAAGTCTTGAAGTACTTGCAACAGATGGACGTGGTCAATTATTCATTACTTGCTCGACTAACTCCTGTCAGCTCTCAACCCCCTCCCTCATTTTTATGATCTACCAAAAGTGCACTGGCCACAAGTTTGTTTCCGTCCTCTATTGGATTCGTCGACTTCTGTTTTTCACTCAGTCACAAACTGGACTTTTGAATTATTGGAACCAGTAAATATAGAAGTATCCATGCATTCTATGGAAGGCTCATTTGAATTTACTGAGGAAGTTAAAGGCTTGAAGTTAGACAGTAAGGTAATACTCTCCTATATTGTACCAAAGCTAGATCCAAAATTGCATGGGACACGCGTCCTAAAGATAGCCGAAGTGATAGCGTTCACGTTACCGCAGCCGGAGCTTTGTAGGCCACGGATGCTGTTGCAATCTCTCAATTTGTCCTGGCCGTAACGAGGATCCATCCGCATGGGACACTGTTGTTGATGATCAAGTGTGGTTTCGCCTCTCGACTGACCCATTTTTCATGAATAAGTCAGCGATCTCTGTCAACCTCCCACTACTACCTGATCCGATCGATTTTACTTCCGTTCGAATAATGTGAAACGGTTCAGCGTTCATTAGCTTGTGCTTATCTTAATCAGCTTTGTAAGCGTATTTGGCTGGTGTGATTTGCCGAAAAGAGATCAGTTTGCAACTGCATTTTCTGGTGGAAAAGTGTTTTCAATCACTGCATTCCATTTTTTATTCGTGAGCACATAACGGAGTCCCATTAGGAGATAGATGTTCTTTGCAACTATTTTCACCTATCGGCCTTGTCTAGATGAATATAACTTCACTCAGATTGGGCGAAATCGCGAGGTGCCTAATAGATGACGTGTCATAGACGCATGAAGAAGTTAACCGCGCACTTGTCTGAGGTGGATGGGAACCTCGGGGTAATACACAACAATTGTTCGTGACCCTATCAGCGCACCCAACCAGTCACTTGCTTTCCTGCATTCGATTTCTTGCATATAGTTATATATTTACATATCACCCTCACTCTTTCATAATTCTATTTTCTTTACACTCTATTTGCATTCCATCTCGTTTTTTTGTCGTTTTCATTTGTCGTTATTCTGCTGACGAGGGCCTTAGCAGTTGGATCCACCGCACTTTAGTGCTCAGATCATACTTGTTCAAATGAATTGAACTGCCTAATATTGCGATGTTCAGTCCCTAAATTCGCCCTTCTGTCTTCTCTTTATGTACCATTGGTAGATGAACGGTTCCTTTGCTTATCAGTTGGTAACACTTCACTCCATTGGTTGCATAGATCAAACCCTAATTAACTGTCGTCTGCGTCTCCTCCGTTGCTTCATACACCAGTGCTTTGCCCATAAATTCACTATTGTCCTTTGATAACCGCATTTCCGGTCCCGCATTTCCGGACCCATTTGCCACCAAACCCATCCACTCTTTTCACTGTATGCATTGTTGTTTACTTGAATACAAATAGTCAAAGACACTACTATTCCTGTGACTTAGAAGTTTTAATCATCTATGGAGGTGGCGCAGGATATCTGCCTGCCGGCTCGGCATGGGGCAGAATATGGAACGATACACTGTGGTCGCTGCTGTTGCATGGATCGTAAGCGTGAACAGTACGCGCTTATTTCGTTGGGAAACTAGTAATCTTTGCATACGTATGCTTTCGGAGCATTGTCCACATCTGATGTTGAATGGGGCTAAAATCCCCTAGTTGCTGGTAGGGAAGAGACCCACTGCTGACTCAACGCATTGCCTTTCTTGCCTAGCCATTTCTTTCAAATAAACACTGACCATCTGCCTCGATGTGAATTTCATAATGTCATTGCAATTACTTGGTCGAAATCGTGATGTGGCTACTCGATGGAGCAGCAGATGTTTCCATGGATGAATTGACTGTGAATGTTGGCCAGGCTGGTACGTATTGCCTTTGTGGGTGGAGATCTCTATAGATCGACTATGCCAGTGATCCGAGACCTTATTCGCTATTTTGCATACAACTCTTAACACCCCAATCCATTTGATTTTATCCATATTTTCCATAACTTCCTTTTTCACGTATCTTGTTTTGTTTTCTGCTCCAGTCTCTCCTTCGTTGCTGCTAGTTGTTGCAGATGGATCCGACATACTTCCATGTTTGAATCACAGCTATTTATCCGAACCAAACTGTTGTGCCTCGGTACCGCTTGTGTTCTGCCCTCCCCCCATCTCATCCCCATGTCTTTTGGGCACTAAAGAGTAGTTACTGGTTTCCATTTCAGCGGATTATCCGGTTTCTTGACGTCCATCACCACTCTGGCGCTGATCCTCTGCACGTATTGCTCAATGCGAATGAGGCACTTGGTCCATTCACTGGTCTCTTCCTCCGAGCACCCCAGTCCACCGATGCGATCCGATCGTTGGCGCGATGAAGAATGCGAACCCTTACTGCTTCCAGCACTGCCACCCACTGACTCACGTGCTGTGCGCCATATTTGGACTGGTCGGTTTCGTGCGATGGTGTACATCCTCGTGGCGTTTGTCATTATAACTGTTTCCAAGCTGGTGATGGGCGTGGTGTTTATGCTCCCGGCGCCACAGCGAACGATTTTGGTGTTTATCTGTGAGTACTTTTATCCGCGGTTATGTAATGATCACACATTTGTCGTCAAATCACTCTCCTTCCTCATTTTGCGTGCGTAGTTGATGAAACCCTTCAATCACATTTGGTTTCATCCGCTCTTATGGTGAGATTGCCAGTCATAAATGAATATGCATTTCCCTCGAGGCGCGCTCTTTACGAGATACGATGGTTTTCTATCCTCTGATCCATTGAGCTGTAGTAATAATAATAATAATAATTCGTCAGTCGTACGCCGTAACGGCGCTTTTCTGCCGCGCGATCACCACCAGTTACGCGTGGGCTGAGTATACCTCAAGGACGCCCGCCCCTATGCTGATTCGAACCGATGACCTTATGATTGCAAGTCAGGGGGTGCAGACCACTCGGTCACCAGCCGACGTTGAACTATAGTGCCTGTCCTGATATGGCCTCTTATCCCCGATTATTCGAGATTATACAAACTCGGAGTAAGCCCCATCGTTCCTCTTCATTAATTTGAAAGAATGATCTACCGGTCATAAGCTGAGTTCGATTGGCTAAGAGCATGAGGACCGCAGGTCTTCTCTAACACTTCTCATCTCAAATCAGGTAGGCCTGAACATTGTGATGATAATCATCCGAAATTTCTCTATTTACTACTGATCACAGATTATTACCGCATACTGTAAAGAAAGCTGTGTGCGACAGACTGAATTCAGGTCTCTGCATTTTCTTTTTTAAGCTATACCTGCTTTCCTTTATTTTGTGGATCGAACTGGTTGAATCAGACCACTGCTACTTACTCCTAAACAAATGTGGTTTTGTCTCTGTGCTTTGTGGTAGAGTTGGAAACCCTTTTTCTGAACCAGTGGCAGAGTAATGCCTCGTTCAGAGAAAAATTCTGCCCCCAATGCTCTTTGTCTTTTACCCTTTCTCCATTTCCCTCACTGGTGTAGTCTATCACTTCTTGCAGCTCCTTCCCTTGTTTCTCACATAAAAATTTTGCATCTTCCAAGCGATTTTGCGTTTTGTATTCGCTCATCTTAAGTTATATTTTGCTCTCCATTTCACCGACTGTTTTCAGTTTTTTTTTCGATTCCTTACAACTGGTTCCATGGCACTTCCGTGCATAACATGCTTTTCCTACCTTGAACTTAATTGAAACCACTTTTGACTTTCATCTGGGTCGATCCAGCCAAATATGACCATTAAACCATCCGAGCCTAGACGGTATCCTCTCCGTTGTCATAGCACACGGTGATAAAAAAATAGATCTCTTGTTGCTTGACATCTTCACACTAGGCCTAACTATCGGCTGCTCCTAAACCTCAGTGGAAACACTCCATCAGAATATCAAACCATGAAGGTAGTCCGCGAATTGAAATGTCAAACTGCTATCCGGTAACTCAAACAATTGCCCTAGAAATGATAGTGAAAAATGGCGTTGTGCACTTTCTTGCATGATTGGACCTGATCAATCAGTCACAACATGGCTTTCCTTCAAGACGCTTCTGCGTTACCTACCAGCTACATTTCTCCAATCATGTTGCCATCATAATTGACAGAGGCATGACGGTCATCATATTTCTCTTGGTCTTGCAAAAGTCGTTCGACCGCGTAACCTAAAACACTGTCGTCTTTATTAGAATCTTACTGTATTGGTAACCCTGGTAATCTCGCTCGACTCCTACAATCGAATCCAGAGAGTCTGCATGTGTCGGCAGTACTCTTCGTCAAAACGAATAGCGAGCGGTGTCTTCCATGGAAACGTACTGGGGCCGGTATTTTTCCTAATCTACTTAGACATCATATGCGACCTCATCAAACACGGACGTTTATTTCTGTTTGCAAATGATGTCAAATTGATCTGCTTATTTCTATCAAACCAATTTCAACTATGTCTGGGAAGCACATTTGAGGACCTATCCGTCCTGAATGTAGCTGGTGAGCGCATGTTAATGCGATTCTCCGCAATAATATCTCCGGTACTTGGGTACAGATGCCGCATCCCGGAAGGCTCTTCACTCTTTTCGATCACGTGATTCAACTTTTTGATTTAATTTGCAAATTAGGAATTAGCTATTTCATCGAAAGCACCAAAGACCACAACATCGGTAAGAAAGTAATGTTTTCCTTGGACGTTGTGTCGCTTTTCACCAACGTGCCACTTTTCGAGACGATCGATTACCTTTGCTCCTACGTAGAAGAAACAAAAACAGGTATATGCATACCGTTGCGTGACTTGAAAAGCCTTCTTTTGCGTTGCACTTGGAACGTACAATTCCTATTCAATGGCACTTACTACCGACAAAGGGATGGTGTAGCTATGGGATCGCCATTGGGTCCGTTGTTAGCTGATGTCTTCATGGCGAAATTAGAGAATACCAAGTTACATGCGGAGATCATGGCCTTTGAATGTTACCACCGCTATATGGATGACATATTTGTCGTGGCCGACCAGTCTGTTGACCTTGACGCTGTTATTGACCGTTTTAATCGGGCCCACGCATCATTGCAGTTTATCTACGAAAAAGAATTGAACGATCAGTTGCCGTTTCTTGATGTGCTGTTAACTAAAAGGGCAGACGGCTCGATCCAACGGCAGGTCTACAGGAAGAAAACCTGGAGTGGCCATTATACGAACTTCCACACTTTCATTCCGTTGAGATATAAGCGAAACCTAATTCGCTGTCTAACCACAAGGGCCCGCAGGATCTGTTCTGAAGACAAGTTGGATAATGAGTTGACGTTCATTCAGAATTTGCTGCGCGAAAACGGATATCCTGATCGTTTCATTTTTAGGAACATGCAAAATAAGCCCGACCTGTTGCAGGTTCAGACAGCAGAGAAAAAAGGACTTTTCATACGACTACCCTTCAAGGGAGACGCCGCTGCTGAGCGTGTAACTAGAAGCCTTTCAACAGCTGTCAAGTCAACTTTCCCAGCAGCCAAGCTTAGGTGTACCTTTTCAACGGAGCCACTCATTCGTATGCACAACAAAGACAAGTTACCGACGCTGACCGCTTCTATGGTAATTTATCAGTTTGAGTGCGCCTGTGGCGCTACTTACATCGGTCGAACGGCGCGGCAACTGTCGAAGCGCATTAAGAAGCACCTACCACGCTGGTTGCGCCGAGGTGGTACTGGGGCTATAACTAGCTCTGTTATGGCTCATCTTGTTGATAGTGGGCATGAGGTTGACCCAATCAGTGCCTTTCGAATACTATACAAGGTCCCTCCACTCCAGTCGAAAGGCCTGCGCCTCCGCACCCTTGCTACTGCCGAGGCGATCAGCATTCGGTTGTATCAACCGCTTTTGTGTGCACAAAAGAAGCTGATCGAAGCTGTTAAGCTACCTTGGCCAGCCAAAACGGATCCTTCTGAGAGCAACTGTAATTTTACAACTACACCTCTGTCCTAGTTTGCTGTTTGTTACTGATTCATGCTTTTGGTCGGCACGTGATCAATCTCATTGGAACTGATCGTTACTCCACTTTTACGCCCATTGATATTTCACTCGTATGATTGTACGGGTCTGAAGATGAATAATCGAAAACAATTGTTTACCTTCGGTCTTTTGTTCTTGATAACGAAATGGGAATTTTCCAGTTACTATTCTAATTCCTTCAATTTCTCTGAGCATCTCCTTTGCCAATTTACAAAAGCACTACAGCCATCCGGACACATCACTAAAACTTGCGCCTTGTCTGAAACACGACTTGACACATTCGAAATTATCCTAAAGCCTACTCTGGAGTATTGTGCCGCCAACCAAGGCCAGTTAGGAGAGAAATAAAGAATAGCTTTGGAAAATTTCCGGCGATTATTTACTTAGCTGGTCATGAGGCGTCTCAACCCTGATTTAATGTGATCCTTGTCGTCATCTACGGCTAGATTCCCTTGAGCTGAGAGTTTTGAACGGTACTCTCCTTCTTCTCTTCAAGACTATAACTATGCGGGTCTTCACAGCCAGTACCGCCCCTGAACTGCGGAAAACCGCTGTCTCATCCATAATGGCGGCTACTTCTTACTCTCACAACATGCAAATCATGGAATCCAATCAACATTCTCAATGCAAATACCAGTTTTGGGAAACAACTGCCACTACAGGGACTCCAAAGTGCAAACATCACCACATTTCAAACCGCTCTGGAGACTTTCTCACTAAACCGTGTGTGGTATTTACACTTGGCTCACAGCAAGCCCCAAAAACATTAACGGAATCTGACTTAAACAACAACAAGAAGCCTGCAATCAACTTATTTTTCTTTTATCGTTACCCATACAAGGAAACGTCTTTGTGCCATCTACCCTTCTCCCGCCGCACATCTGACTGCTCCCGAGTTTCACTACGAAACAAATTTGCAAACGGTATTCGTAGTTTGGCTCATATCTGGTGGGAACACCGTGCGAGCAATGAGCGTGTTCGAGGCCTTGTTTATGGCGCAGGAACAGGAAGCGAACCACTCGGAACCGTTATATCACGCACTAGGCTCCGATGGTTTGACCACGTGTTGTGAATGCCAATCCACGGACTCCCGCAACGTCCATTGTTTGCGCGTCAGGGGTGTGGATTGAAGAAGAAAAAGCTGGCCAAGATATGACTTGATCAAGAGAAATGAAGGCCTTTACTTGAAGTTGGCCTCGGTTGGCGCGTCTCGGCTCCCTGGTTGGGGACCGAAGGACGATGGACACGTTTGGCTGGACACACTTCTTGACTTGGCTAGAAGCCGATCTCAATGGCGTTTGTGTTATGAGTTTCTTTGTCCCTCCCCCTCGCATTGAACCTCCCCTTCCATCCACGATCACAATTATTAGGCATAATATGACTTTTTTGCGACACAATAACCAGCTGTTAGCTCTCCATTGCGATGTCCATCCGTTACTGATGGCTCATGGTCTGAAAATTTGTTATTATAATTATGTTTCAATGCACGGAAATTTTTACCCTACTTCTGTGTGCAGATGATCTCTCCCACGTAGGAGTCTTTACTGGCTGATACCACGCCTCTTATTCGCTCCTAGAATTGAATGCTTTTAGTGTATTTTGTGATCATCTGACTCGTATTGTTTAGTTTTGAATTGGGCATTTTTGGTCTCATGGTCAAATCGTACTAGCGGTAGTTGCGCAGGATTTTTCTCACGTTAACGGAATTTTTAGTTCAACTTTTTTGCTGCTCACTGTTAACGCCTTTTTCTTGAACTGTGTGGTTTAATATGCCGCATGCAGTAGGTCCTTTTAGCGATCCAGTCTGTTTTCATGTCTGGTTTGGAAGCTGCACATTCGTTTGTATAGATGCCTATTACTTTTCTCACTTTCACTCTATCTAATAATTTGAATATTTATTTGCCGGCGATACCTGTTTGCAACAAGCTTGGTCTGCGTGCCATCGGTGTTTCGTAACACCACCCCCACCACTCACACAGAAAAACAACGGTTGTCTCCGTTCCGGTGTCTCTGAAGCGCGTCTTCCTTCTGTACTCCATGAAGTCCAAACCCACTACCCGTTCTCTGCCCGATGACGGAAGATATCAGCAGCGGACATATAAGTAATTAGCTAGCGCTTATCCTGTACCACCCATCCTCATCTTTCGAACGGTTTTTTTACGCGCTACTAATTGTCTTTCATTCCTAGGTGACCACTTTCAAGCATTAAGTGTGCAAAGCACCTTGTGACATTTCAAGTCAGCTCGAGCATTTACACAAGCATTAATGGACGTTCAATGATTGGCAGTGTTGCGTCACTAGAGAATGCCTTCATCCCACGATCGCAAGAAGAATTTCCTAACTTGCAGAGACTCACCTCTGCTCTATACCACTCCTTCTTTGTATTACTCATCTTACTGACCGCCTAATTTATCGCTTCATTGAGCTCGTTTATTCGAATTTCATCATTTATCCGTTCTTGCTGTGTTTTTGTGCCACTGCACTACGTTGCTTCGAAGGCAGATGGATATGACCTGAGAAGTTAGTTCTTTTCTCGCATAATCTAAGCAATGGACACCTCTTCATACTTCATCACAAGACTAGCTATCTAAAGATCGTGAACTGATGTTCCCGATTTTAATGGACAGCTTTTAAATTTTTCCGACAGATATCGCTTGGCTACGCACTAAATCACGTTCCAACGACCATCTCTGGAGTGTTGAGGTAGTTTCAGGTTTGAGGGTGGTAGACATTATGGGGAGTTCACCTGTCCCCACAATACTGTTCGGGCTGCGCTCACGATTCGGTGTACACGTTCGAGTCTTACTCCGTGTGCATGATCGCTAATGCGGGAGCCATTTACTCGCACTAATTACACTTGAGCACCCTTCACACACTGACTTATTGTACCCTGGTAATATACGCGACAAGGCACATGTTCGTGCTGACACTCTTCTCGTGAACTATGCTCTTGATACGCGGACACAAAACATTTGTTCATCCTTAGGATGAGCCAATGAAGGCACACGCTGAAGCTCAGTCCTCTCTCTCCCTCCCTAGGTTTCGATTAATTACTGGGGTTTTGCGTCTCGTATCGCCTTTAAGGGCACGCTGAATGACGATAGCGTTTTCCATCTTCCATTCACGAGCTCCAATCGATTTCCTTATGGTATACACACATGAAGTCGTACAAAGCGGTCTTACGTTGCGTTCGAATAGGGACAGCACGTTTTCACTTAGCTTCTCATCTGTTACTGACTAATTCATCAGCCCTGGCCTTTCTCCGTCACGACGATATAATTGTGAACTGTTTTATCGAGATACCAGTGTCATGTCCCGTGTACACGCACTCTTTAACATGTTGGCTGGACCACTGCATCTTATCACGTGCTTTAGTCCGTACATGGCTCTCTCTGACCATTTTCGTATTCGACGTGACCAGAACTATGTGTCTCGTTTTTTCACCGGCCAAGACATTAGCATGCCTTGATCCCCAAGTCGTTCGTACAGACTGGTCCCCACCTGATGATCGAGTTGTCTTACGCTATAGGCTATCATTTTTCGCTGTGACGGAATTGTCGTGTGGCTGAAACGGACCTCATAACAGTTTTCATTTGTGGACCCTATGCGCCACCGCCTGTTGTCTTTCCGCTCTTGCCTTGAAATTCAGCGCTTGTTTTTGCTTTTTATCTCATAGCCCTCTTGCTGCAGTTAGCCCGATCTTCTGTGATTCCTACGCTGAAATCGTTCTTGTCTTCTCTTCACTCACCTGATAGTCAAGGTAAGTGTTGTCATGATTTTTGTGTGCCTTTTCTAACTTCAACTTTTCCATTGGCATCTGTGTGCCTCATCGATTAGATGCTCCAACAGGAGCCCAATAAGATTGTCAACATTGTAGTGGTCAATCTGCTGAAATCGTGAAGTTCGTCAGAACTACAATCCATTCTTTTTCACCGAAACCCAATTGTCTTTTTTGCTTATTTGTTCCAGTAGCTCACATGCCGCATAGTTTAGCTACCAACCAGTAAGAGCACCAGACGACCATGTGGAGAGTTTTTGTGTTGCTCTCTCCTATCTCTGCATTCCACGATGCGTTTCGTCCTAGTGTGTACTCATCAGGTATAGATAGCCCGATTTTTGAGTGGAACTCAGGCAAATGGATGTTGGCGGCTATTGCCATGGTCACTAGACCATTGAGCTCCGCGAGCAGAGCTTGACACGGCGATTAGAAGTTGATTGTCTGGTTTCGGAACACCTGCCGTGCGTCTTCGATTCCGACACGCAAGTCGTGCCTGGACTTGATGTTAACAAGCTATGAACAACATGTGTATGACGTTCAGGTCCTAGAGCCCCTAGCAGCAAACGATCACTCAGTGCTCATAGCCAGTATGGATATAACTTTACCGTATTCCCGTCCGCTGGAGCCAGCTTACAACTACTGGAAAACTAATTTCGACGGTCTAACTCAATCCGCGAACGAAGTAGATTGGTATCTGTGGAAGACTTGGACTGTTATTATGGAAGGACTGCCATTACTGTGTCCTCAGTTTGTACTATTGAAGTGTCGGCAAGTTGGACCGGTCAAACCGCATTGGTTTGACAATGAGTATGGTAAAATGCCTCTGCGGCGGTGCAAATTGTGGGACAAATTCCTCCTCTCTAGCCCTTCCAATGATTACGAGGCCTATAAGAGACATAGAGATATTTGCAATAGTGCGAAAACAAGCAAGCTCCGGCTTTTCGAACAGCAGCTCACAATCGCCGCAGACAGCTTTAAAACGAATATTTACTAACATGAAGGGGCGCCTCAAGCCATCAGGTGATCTGCCAGTGCTAGAGGGTTCGGACGGACAGCCCCTAATCTCTCACTCTGAGGGCGCGTCTGCCTTGGTGACCCACTTCGCTCCCGTGTTTGAAAATGACCGGGTGTCTGTACCGAGTTCGACGTGTACCGCGTTTATCGAACTCGGGTCTGGTTTGCGGTGTTGAAAAGGTGCATCAACCACTCGTCAACCTTGACGGCATCAAACTTGCTGGCTCTGACAGACTCCACTCCCTAATTCTCAAGTCTCTATCGGCCATCATCTCACCCGCTGTGACTGACTTGCTCAGCAAGTCACTCTCCGAAGGTTCATTGCTGAGCGAATGGAAATGCTCGGTGCTTAAGCCGATTCCGAAGGGCGATGACCCCAGCAAAGTGAACAACTATAGATCGATTTGTCTGACACCTATTTTGGCCAAGTTTGCCGAGAAGATCGTGAAGAACGGTCTGCTACAGCTGATCCATTCAAAAGATCTACTGATTCCCGCGAAGCACGGTTTTATCCTAGGCCGTTCATGCATTACAAACCTGCTGGTGACGAGGCATAGATGGTTGCAAGCAGTAAATCGGGGGAAGTCTGACGGCGTAGTTAATATCGATTTCATTAAAGCGTTCGACAAGGTAAACCATAAGGTCCTCCTCCATAATCTGAGAATGTGCGGTGTTGGTGGATCACTACACCAATGGATCCAGGACTGTCTCGTTGGATGAAATTGTAGGGTACAGGTCGACGGCCATCTAACTGATTGGTATCCCTCTGCTAGTGGAGTACCCCAAAACACCGTGCTGGGGCCCACTCTGTTCCTAATCGACATCAACGATCTACCACAGCTTCTTCAGTCGCCGTGTGCTCTGTTTGCGGATGACCTAAAAATTTGCAAAGAAATTAGCACCATAGATGACTGCAACCTATTTCAGCACGACCTCAACCGCCTCTCCATGTGGTTTGCGGAAGTTAGGCTCCCAGTCAACCCATCCAAGTCGGTATTTATGAGCTTGAGGAAGGGTGGTGATGGCCGGATTTACACCATTGACGGACAACCGCTGCATCCAACATCTTCCATGAAGGACATAGTTGTACACCGGCGCTGCAATTTGAAGTCTGTTGACAACACGCACAGACTATATCTTTGAGCGAGCAAACGCAGCTTCTGTACTTTGTCTTTAGAGGTCGCCACTCGCCTCTTCTGTTCCATCATTAGACCAATACTGGAGTATCGCTCACCTGCCTACTGCCAAATCACCTAAAACGAGGCACAGAAGATCGAACGGGTCCAACACGTCGCTACCAAGCTCATTCCAGGCTTACGTGAATTATTGTATAAACATCGGTGCGCGAAACTCGGACTCTACACCTTGTCTTATGATCGGATGCGAGTCGATCTCATCAATGCCTACCCTATATTACATATCGGTGACTTCCCCATGTTGAAGCCGCCGCTACATTTACGAACGCCATGCAACCCACGTGGACACCAATACAAGCTTGTGATGCCGGATATAAAACGATTACCCCACCCCTTTTGCTTCGAACAGAGTGTGGTAAATGTTTGGAACAGTCTGCCAGAACAAGTCGGGGAGGCTAAATCTGTATAACAGTTCGAAACTTTATTGGATTTACCTTTCAACCCCATTCGATACAGAGAACGATTGCGCACTAGCATTGACATCTTGCATTTGTGAAACCTGTGGAACTGTAAGTCAGATGTTCTAAAATGCTACATACGAACTTGTCGAACGATTCGATTATCACGGAATGCAGACACCTTTTATAATATTATTGTTTATTTTGTGATTTATATTTCTCCTTACTCCCACACACAGTATTCAGCAATCTCAACTGCGTATCAGGCTGTTGCAGCAACACAACATATCCGACCTTATTTGTTCGTCAAATCAACTGATTTGAGTATCGTTGCCTGGTGTTCAACTGCACCTCTTCGTTGGACACACGCTAGCTCCGCCCCACACAAACAACCATGCGCATTAGTTAATCGGTGAGGGAAAACGGAAGCTGTTTAGGGCGAAGGGATCAAGTTTCGCTGCTTTAAGCACTACCATTAAGACCAAGCAAAGTCCTCTTCTTATGTCACTAGTGATGTCCTCAGTTCATAAAGACATTTCCAAATTTCACAGTACAACAGCCCCTTGTGTGTCTCCGTTCTTATAACACAGCGTCTGTCATTTTAACTTTTCCCACTTTATCGCACTTTCGTCATCTTCGCATATGCTTTCATCCCCGTAGCTTTCACTACTCCTACTGCCCATCGTTTGTGTTTTCATTACTTTCAGGCTATCTGTTCTCTCTGATCGGTCTATTCGAATATCTTGGTGCGTGGATTGGTCTGCCTTGCCTTCCAGGTGTCTACGCACTAACCGTACACGTGTTCCCTGGTGCTGTGTTTCTTCTGTCCGCCGGGCTAGCAGCTATCGGTTCCGCACTGGCCGCGTAAGTTATGTGTGTGTCTTCCACGAAGGTGTGCCAGCTCCCGCGTGACGCACTCGTGATTCCTATCCCTTTTTTGCTTATTGTATCAAAACCGCGTTTAGATCAGAGCCTCCGATTCATACAACTCCCCGGTGACGTGCCGGCGATGTTTTTCTCCTACCCTACTTTGCTTCCATGCCCAATTTGTTACCCTTCCAAGGGATGCTCCGCGTGTAGCAAGCAGTGACTAAGGTGCCGATATATCGACCGTTCCGAGCACATTCGATTCTAGTGTGTTCCCCCATAAATCACGATACAGCCGGTTCGATAGGTTTTGATCACTGTCACAAGTATAGCTGCTGTGACGTCATCGTCTACTAACCTGTTTATCTAGTTATTCTGTAGTCTTATAATTTATGGTATGGACCATTGACCTCCACTTAATGTACCGTATATAAGTCGACAGTATGACTTTGTAACATCGAATTTGTCCAAAATCATAAATTCGTATATTAGCCGACCCCAAAAAAATCAACAAAATGAGAAACGAAATTGTTTCTCACGATTTTGACTCCATCACTATCTGCTCTCACTTGAGTGTGCTCAAGCGAAAGCTGCTCTACTATTGGTCATTTCTGGTCGCCTAATGTGTTATGATCGCAGTTAATGGGGCTTATAGCCGTCAGAATAAGTATTTTAAACGTACTGGACGGTGTATTGATTAGACGTCAAGTTCACGAAACAGGTAAGATAGCCGATAATATATGGTCGGGGGCCTCATACAGCCGAATCGCAGTGGAGTAGCGAGTGAGAGGGAAGTTCACGATCAGTGGTGTGGGACGACTTTGTACTTTTAAGGCACCAGATTGACTAGCATTATCTAATGTATAAGCGCTGTGATTCGCTACCTACTATAGCCCTAACGCGATCCAGCTGAGAGGGAATATGCCCACGTTTCGTGCGATCTTCCAAGGCCGTGGGAACGTGAAAAAATGTATGGACAGAAGCGATCTGCGTATGCTGCTGGCTTTAAATTGTAATTTATCGCGTTTGCCGGGCAATCTAGTAATTGTATGCTTGCACGTCATTTCACGGTGAATGAAAAGCAAATGAGAGAATGTCGAAAGGAAAAGTCAGACTTAACACTAATGGCTCTTGGCATGAGAGCAGCACGCGGTAGCAAAACCATGTTTTCTGCACTGGAGGAAAATTTAGCGCAGTGGGTTATGGAGTCACGGCACAGCGGGTTAGTTGTTGCCTGAGCGAATACTCGGATAAGGGCGCTTACAATGTTTAAAAGTCCGGAATTCCAGCTATAAAAGCCGGTGAATTTTGTTGCTTACTCCGGATGGTGCAATCGTTTTATGGACCCATTCGACATGTGACTACGGACCCGCACAAAACTATCCCAGAAACTGCCGAACGCATTGCACAATAAAGTTAAGTGTTTTCCAAGGTTTGTGATTCAGCTGCGAAAGCAATATGACTTTGAACCGTCCCAAATAGAATATATAGACGAGACGCCCGTCTGCTTTGATATGCCTACAAATCGCACGTTGGAGCAGAAAGGTGCTAACATAGTTTTTGTAGACGAAACACGAGAAGATACTGTTCACAGTTGTTTTAAAGTCCATGGCGGATAGTTCCCGTCTATCACCTTTCATTATTTTTAAGCATGAGATGCTGCTTAAAGGATTGAATTTCCCAATCGGCGTGTTTGTGCGGGCTCACACGAAATGATGGATAAATGAGGGTGTCAATATAGACTGACTGAATACAGTTTGGGGAAAAAGAAGCGGTGCCCTTTTAAAGAAACCATCCATGCTGGTTTGGGATTCCTTTAGTGCACACTGAGCTGAGAACGTAGAGATATGATGCCATGTACTGTAGTCATCGTGACTTTAATTCCGGGTGGACTTACAACAATCCTGCACTCACTGGATGTCTGTCTCAATAAGCCCTTTAAAGATAGACTTCGGGTCAAGTGGCTTGCATGGATGGTATCATCTGATTTAGCGTTGAGGAAGTGTGGCAATGTGAAAAATGTTGTCGTTGTTGCAATTGCAGAGTGGGTGAAAGAAGCGTGGCTGCAGATTCATTGGAAGTTATCGTACGATCATTCGAAAAGTGATGCGTCAGTTATGCTATGGATGGAAATGGGGGCAATGCCATTTTTGAGGAATACGACAATGACGAGAGCATTGAAGTTGAAGATGCCAATATTCACTGACTTCCCAATGACAGACGACCAGTACCAATACCTGTTTGCAGATCATGACTTCGATTCTAGTTTCGAAGGATCCGAATAATTTTAATACCATTATGCAGCGTTTGGATAGTAAGCTTATAAAATTTAACGGTACGTGCTGTTCTCTCCTGTCTTTTTCCCATGTTAATGTGTGTGATGGTGTTCGATTCTGTATACTCAGTATGTTTCTGTTACTGCCATCCGTCGCGAAACATGTGCATTATACCGAGAATTTTCGACACCAACATAATGTGTCTACCTATATGCCTAGACGGTATCCCAGTTGAGATACCGTCTGTCACTAGCGAATGGTGCTAAGACAAGATAGGAGCATAGGGGTGCAGTGCATTTCTGGGTGGATTTTGCATGTGGTTTTTCCAAATCGCGCATAACCTTTGTGTACGATGACAACCCCACTACAGACATGGAAAATTATCCAAAATTCCAATATACCGTACCTCAATTGAAATTTGTAGTGTATTTATACTACTGTCTAATTGTAAGTACGCAATCATTTACTGCCCATTTAATGTGCTATCCTTTACGTCACGTCGTTATTTGCTTCGGATAATAACAAGAATGATCTTTCGCGTGCCACCTCGATGGTCTCACTACTGAGCTACTTAAATTTGTGCTGTGCTCTTCAGCGATGGTTTTCATGACAGATTGAGCTCTCCGACGCTGCCGCCCCACATTTGTCACTGGTCATATTTGGGTACGGGTACATCTGGTGTATAAATTCATTCGCATCCTTCGAACATGGATTTTGAATTCGCTACAACACAGCCAATTCAGTGTGGGATTCTTATTGAACGGACTATCTTGGTCATTATGCAATTTGCACCCTCTCACTTTCACCACCCCAGCTTCAGTAACCCAGTGGAAACGCTTTTGTCATAGCTGAAAGCCATTTCGAACTCATCCGACAGTTGTCTGATGCGAAATATGATGTATGTTGATCTCGTCTTTGTGGCAAATTTGCTCTCAGATTTACACCAGAGAATCGACAGTAGAATTAAACTTGCTGTACTGTTCTCCACTAAACCTAGATATTGCTCAGGCGGTTGCATATTCACGTGTCCTAGGCGACTCGTACAGACTGCCTGTACTATGTATCTGTTGCTCTAGGTGGTTAGATGACGTTGGGATGTGGTCAATTCCTGTGTCCGTTTTTTACCAAAGTTCCTTGGCTTACGCAATATCCCTTGACTTACCAGTTGTGCGATAGCTTCGTCTGAAGTTTCACACCATTTATCCTGTATCACCATGAGTCAGCTCAAGCGATAGCCTGTTTTTAAAAAGTTTACTGTTTCGATTCTTGTGTTTTTTATAAAGGTCCATCACAACTCGACTCAGTCACATAGCCACAACACATCCTGAGGAAGGTTGGACGGTTACTGTCTTATAGAAACTCCCTAATAACGCGCATCCGCCGAATCCTACCGACTTAGAACCCGTGACATTTCTCTCACCAGTCACCGACTTAATCCACTGAGTTATGTTTGCTAGTGACCGACCGACATGATTGACTACGGGCTCTTTTACACTGCCGTGACTTTATTATCCGTGCAGGAGACACTTTTGGCCACCAAAGTCATAACTTGCCTTAGTAAACCGTTAATGGTATCTTAGAAGCCACTCTCTTCAGCTTATATCATTATTTTCATTAGCCTAAATACCATAGCAACCAGAGATTTGTCGAAAGGTTGTTCATTGAAACATCGAATATCCACAGTGTTCCTTAGATGCTACATATTTAACCGTTGCCTATAGGCACACCTCACCGTCCCACTGCTATTGGCCCCTCCTGATGTTGGTACTTCTTGCAGCACACCTTGATCTGCGCTAGGAAGTTGCGCATTTCGTGGTAGGGGCTTGGAATAGACGATGGTTTGGCTGTTGCCATCTGTTTTTCCCCTCATTGCCATACTATTTATTCCTGGTGCACGACGCACTGTCTTCTGATATCCTATCGTTCTTTCTGTTGCAGAATCCTACTCTGTTTCGTCTGCAAACGAATCCCAAGGACTACTTCCGTTTGATTCCCTCCATCTCGTGAAAACTGGTGGTTGCATAGATAGCTATCACTCTTTCGTCCCTACAAGCAGCTGAATTAGATTGCATTTGAACGTCATTTGCATCTTGAGATCTATCTGCGCATATTCTGATTTATATTTCTAATATTTTTTATTTTCGTTTTGGTCCTTTTCTAATATTGATGATGCCACTGATCTTATCGATCGTTATACTTTCTTCTTGAATAAGTCAGACTTTTGGAGATGAGTTTGGTTCCGCATTGCGTTTTTGCCCATTGGGTGTCGGCCATTCAAGTGGGTGACGGAATACCTTTACTTCCTGTTTGGATCCAGTTTACAAATATGAAATCCTTCTTGCTTTTAATAGCTACACTGAGTTGTTCCTAAATTTCATTAGTAACCTGTCATATCGCTATTGGCCCGTTAGTCACGTGGTAAAGAATAGATGTCTGCTTCAGCTTCTCGAAGTTTGTCGCCGAGAATGTATCCTATCTCCACACTAATCCGTTAGACGCAGTCTAAATGATACCTCCGTATTAGTGGAAAACCTGGATGGTATTGAGCTGAGTGGAAACCCTACGTCCAGCGTCCATCTATTCTCACTATTCACTAACCTCCATGTAGATAAAGTTAAAACTCAGCCTTCTTGTATATGAGCTAAAATGACTTATCTGTACCTCTAACGTGAAGTTATGTTTCCAAAATTAAGGATAGTGCTGCAACGGGTAGTCTACTCGGACAGCAGTTACAAATTTTTCCTTGCCTACGTTGCAAATCAAGTCAGGGAAAATTTTCAGCAAACAGCACTGTTCTGCCGATCTACGGACGACATCTTGGTTGTTTGTGACGGAGAACTATTGGCTCAGCTGAACTCCAAATTAGACGATCTGCACCAAATCCTTGATGTAACGATTGATCGAAGAAATTATAATAGCATGCCGTACTTTGATGTAATAATCGGACGCCAAAATGCCTGTTCAGTACTCAGTTTGGTTTGTGGTGGTAATTTAACTTTTATAGCTTTGTCCCAAACCGCTACACACATGAAGTGATGCAGAATGTGTTTGACAAGGGAAGCAGAATCTGCGCCTCTGGCACGCCAGAACGAGATATGCGGCTGCGTACTTACATTCTCTTGAAACACGGTAAATCTGTACAACTGCTTTAAAAACTATTTGTCATTTCTTGTTACTCTAGTCATTTTTCAAGTTCTTGTGTAGTGTTTTAAAATGTCTGACACAGTATCACTGGGTTCACAAATGTGACATGTTATTGTCAGTATGCAGTCGTTCTCCGAATCGAATGCTGGGGAATGTATTTCCAGTACAATTTTGAATTGCCGTACAGATTTGACCTTTACGATATGTTCTGACAAACTGTCCTAAACAGGTGGTAAGTACTCATTTCATATCCGGTACCATCAACTAGTACTGCTGTTCACCTGTGCTGCATGACGTCCGCAAATGGAACACTGGCCCCAACATGAGAAAGTCACCGAGATGCAATATGCGGTAGGTCACGATGAGATCGAGTCGCACCCGACGATAGGAAAATGCGTAGAAGCCTGGTTTCTGGCATCGGTCTTCATGCAGCAATCCTCGTAAACTCGGAATGAGCTCGGGTGCGACGTACTGGACAACTTCGACCCTCTGTGCCTCGTCTCGGGTGATTGAACAGTAGGTGGATGAGCCGTACTCCACTATTGGTCCTATGATAAAAGAGAAGAGGCGAGGGGCGATCTCCTCAGACCAAGTGAAGAAACTGCGTTTGAGCACCCAAAGCGTGTGCGGTTCGTTACGATAGATCCTGCTCGTGTTGTCCAAGAATTTTAAATCGCAGTGCGAGAGTGCACTTAGGTCTTCCACAGATAGCTTTGGATGTAGCGGCTAGCCGTCAATAGTGCAAGTTCAATCATCACCACCCTTCCCCAGGCTTAGAATACCGACTTGGATGGGTTGACCGGAAGTCGGATTTCTGCAGACCAACTGGAGAGGCCGTTGTGGTCATATTGAAGTAGGCCGTAGTCATCGGCAGTGCTAATCAATCTCTAAATCTTCAAGTCATCTGCAAGCACACACATAACGATATAAGAAGCTGAGGTGAATTATGAACTGAGTTAGTCCTAACACCATGTCTAGGAGTACAGAACTCGTAGGGAGTACCAGTCAATTAGATGGCCGTCAACCTGTGTCCTCTACTTTAGTCCAACGAGGAAATCGTGGATCTACTGGAGCAGTGATCCACCAAAACCGCACACTCTCAGCTTATGGAGGAGGACGCCATGGTTTGTCGAATGATCTACCGAAATCGATTTAAATTATGTCTACAGCCTTCCCATGGTTCACTGACTGCAAATGTTAATACCTCGTCATCAGCAAGTTGGTGATGCATACACGACCTGGTTTGAAATCGTGCCGTGCGGACGTCAGTAGATCTCTTGACTGAAGCACCTGTAGTAAACCCTTCTTCATGATCTGAACAACCTTGGCCAAAATAGGTGTCAAGCAAAGTGAGCTGTAGTTGTCCACTTTGTTGAGGTCATCATCTCTCGGAATCGGTATTACAACTGAGCATTTCCAGTCGCTCGGCAACTAATATTCGGACAGTGACCTGTTCAGCCAATCACAGCAGGTGAGCTATCTCACTGTCCATGTGGCTGTAAACCTTTCAAATGTGCTTCGAACGGACAAACTTTGAGTCTAAACGACAATGATCAAGCCTTCGGCTTATTTCTTTTTAACATTCCCACCTCTTGTGATAAAGGGAATTTCATTGACCTGGAAAACGAACTGCCCTCACATCGATAGTGCACATTGCATGATTTCATGTGTTGTACTACTGCATTATACATTGGATGTAATCGAGAATAGCCTACACTTGAATCATAAAATCACACGATAATCCATATGTCCTTGGTATGGGGATTACAGAAATCCGTTCCTGAAGAAAGCTAATTGCACTGTGTTAGCTGAGCAAGTTTTCAAGACCATCAGATGGTGTGTTTACTCAGCGTCTAACATAGCGAGATTCCAGCTGATACAGTCTTCAACCGCTTGTACAGTTTTCAACGATGAAATTTCATTGTTACAAAGCGAATACCTTGCTGGACACAGCGATTTCCGTTATGATCCGTGCTATACTGTTTGATCAATCTAATTGCGGGCGTATAATTTTTGATCACTGTTAATGAAGCAGGTTGGAAGTAAAAGATAAATGGAGCTCAAATACTTAACCGTTGCTTGAGTCCTAATCTCTTCCGCACTAAAAGTGCGATTATAAGGATGTACAGTATATCGAGAGCGGGGGCCACCTTGTAATTCATTGTGCACCAGTTCGAATCTGCATAGGTGCGTGCAACGACTTGTTCTCCCTAACCCTCATTCGACTAGTGGTGGTCGTATGGCGGCGAAGCATCGTTACTGCTGAATATCGGCATGCGGTTGGTGCACACGTCAAACCTGTTCTGAGTTGTCACGACTATTGAGTGAATCTTTTCAGCAGGACCCAGGTTGCGATTACAAATAGCAGATCAATGCACGAAAGGTTTCACTTTGTAACCTATTGTCATAGTTATGAAGACAGACCCCGACGGAGTTGCTAGCTAGGAGAAGGAAATGGTGCTGCAAACGAATCCGCATTACGTTGCAGCTCAAACCGGGCGCCAAGCAAAGACGTTGCCCGATTCAAATCAATCGACCTCAACATACAATTCAACATTCCGAGCCGATCATCTAAGTGTACCGTGAAATGGTATTTTTAGTTAAAATTTTACAAACCATCTTCGAACTGCTAAAGGTTCACGCGGGTGGCATTCGGCAGCACATGTTGCCAAAGTGTGCATCGAGTTCTGTTCCATAACTCACATTCGTCTTTCCCACATTCTTCAGGTTCAACAGTTGCTTCCCATCGCACAGATCTTTATTAGGTACTCAAAATGTACGCTTCGGATAATAACTGACACTTTGTCGCCAGTCCTCAACATGTGTACCGATTTGTTCATTAAATTTCCATTCAATACCTTGGGACGATGTCGGCCGGTGGCCGAGTGGTCTGCACGTTTGCTTTGCAACCATAAGGTCACCGGTTCGAATCCGCGTAGGGGTGGGCGTCCTCGCGGTATACTCAGCCCGCGCGCGACTGGTGGTGGTCGCGCGGCAGCGAAGCGCCGTTACGGCGTACAGCTGACACATTATTATTATTATTATTATTAATCCTTCCCCAAAGCCTCCTTTGTGGCTTTCACATTTGTTTGGTTACGGTGGATATCCGGAGGTGTTCCTGATGGTGACGGGTTCATGAAATAGGAAAAATGGTTGTGGTGATAAACCAAAGTGGGACAAATACTACACCATCGTTAATGGAGACTAACATTAAAAGACTAAAGAATTGCGAGACAAGTTGGTGATACAGTTTAACTGGGATGATGAGAAAAGGTCGCAAGTCGGGATTAACAAATCAGTGGGGTTCTTTATCAGTCTTCAAAGCTTCGGCTGCCTGAGGTAATGCATTGTGCACAGAAGGGATTTAGGGTAAACTGAAGTATTTAATCATTCCTCAAATTCAATTTCAATTAGCATGATACAACAACACGGGTTGTGGGATACGGAGTGGCTATATTGCCTCAGTGGCTTTCCGTCTAGCCATCACTTACAGGTAAAGATTTATGGTTTAACGGAAAAATTAATGCTAATATAGGAGTGTAAGGCGTTCCGGTTAACTTCTACCTTCAGTACGCACTTGACGGACGGCATTTGTCGGACGGCCGACAAAAATGTGTTATCGAGTGAGTATGGGCAGCAAGTATGCCGTCTGCGTTTCCTTCTAACTTTCATCTCTAGGTGTTAATACTAGGTAAACACCGCCGAATAGGTAAAATATCAGTGATAATATAAACAGCTGCAGTGTTGCGACTGGCTCTCACTTTCAGAACGCCTCTTGAAGTGCGAACTGTATGATTGGCTTGGTAGAGCCGAATTTCGCAAGTGTACGTCATATGTAAGTGTTAAGCGATACGTGGTTAATTTTTTTTCTTTACCTGTTAGTACATCCCCACAGTTGGCGCCTCCGAGTCGACGCCCTGACAGCACGACAGTCCGCTGAGAATTCAACAAATCCCAATTGAAACACTGAGTCCCCTTCAGCCACTTCATGAACGCAGTAAGAAGACCTAGGTTGCGATATGATAACATTCCGATTGCTCTCGTCAGTCGCTACGCAATACAGGCAGAACAAAACACGCAATAAATAGGGTCCACACTTACATAGCTAAGCAGATAAAATTGATGGGCATGACTTAATCAGGTCCAAGGCAATCTAATAGATTACCTCAATTGTTTCTAGGCACAGAGC